TTTCGACAAAGGGGATTGGTTCGCGTCCCTCGATCTTCAGGACGTTTACTTTCACATTACAATACATTCGGCCCACAGGAGATTCCTTCGGTTTGTAGTGAGGTCCGACCACTATCAATACCGTGTACTACCCTTCGATCTCTCGGCAGCCCCACGAGTTTTCTCCAAAACCCTGGCGGTAGTGGTGGCTTACCTACGGCTTTCGACAAAGGGGATTGGTTCGCGTCCCTCGATCTTCAGGACGTTTACTTTCACATTACAATACATTCGGCCCACAGGAGATTCCTTCGGTTTGTAGTGAGGTCCGACCACTATCAATACCGTGTACTACCCTTCGATCTCTCGGCAGCCCCACGAGTTTTCTCCAAAACCCTGGCGGTAGTGGTGGCTTACCTACGGCACCTCGACATTACAATTTTTCCGTACCTAGATGATTGCCTCCTGAAGGCTTCCATTGTCGACTAGGCCACGAGGGCAGTGTTCACCACTACCACTCTGTTTACAGCCCTTGAACTCATAATCAATCTAGAGAAGTCCTTTCTGATGCCATACTCGTGACCTGAAGTTTATCGGAGCAAGACTCGACTCCCTGACCACGAGGGCATACATGCCTCTAAAGAGGTTTCATCTCATACAGGACTTGGTGCAGTCAGTATCAATTTCTCCCAAGTCCCGAATACTCATCTGTCTACAGTTGTTGAGGCATATGGCGGCCACCACGTATGTGGTTCCACATGTCAGACTTCATCTTCGCAGTCTTCAACATTGGTTGTTCACCGTGTACATGCCTCAGATGCACAGTACAAACAGGGTGGTTTCGATGCCAACGCAGGTCCAGACTTCCTTGGCATGGTGGGACAGCCCCGACAATATACTGGTAGGGGTCCCCTTTCATGCCCACAAGCTACAGATCACGGAAGATGCCTCCCTGCTCGGTTGGGGTGCTCACCTTCAGGAGCACCGGGCGCAGGGTCTCTGGATGCCCCAGGAATCACTACAACATATAAACTTTCTCGAACTAAGGGCAGTCTTCAATGCTTGCAAGCATTTCCTCCACATCATTCGAGGTCGCTCAATACAGATTCTCACTGACAACATATGCACGGTGTATTATGTCAACAGGCAAGGAGGGGCATACTCCCGCTCTCTTTGCGCAGAGGCAGTATGCCTGTGGAATTGGGCAATTCTGCAAGGTATCACCATAACAGCAGCATACTTTCCCGGCAAGGACAATGTGATCGCCGATACTCTGAGCAGGCATTTCCTCTCACAACATGAGTGGGAGTTACACACCAAGGTGATCCGCCACATTTTCCAACTCTGGGGCTTCCCCAATGTAGACTTGTTCACCACCCAACACAACAGAAAATGTCATCAGTATTGCTCACGAGCGGGCATCGGCAAAGACTCCTTGGGGGTGCCTTCCTGCTGGACTGGAGTCATCATCAATTGCTGTACGCCTTTCCTCCTCTTCCACTCATCCTGAGAGTTTTGGAGAAAATAGCAGCAGACGGCGCAACAGTAATTCTGATAGCGCCTTTCTGGCCCCGACAGGTCTGGCTAACACAGCCGTCAAGAATGTCGGTTGCCGAACCACGACGGCTACTGAATCTGTTCAATAGCACAATGCTTCACCCAGCCATCGCCCGCATGCACCTGACAGCGTGGAACCTAGCTGGCTCCAAGCATCCGAGCTCTCCTGCTCTCAGGACGTGAGGCACCCGTGTTGGTTAACAGTAGGTGACATACAACAAGTAAATCCTACCTTCATAAGTGGCATTGTTTTCAGTCATGGTGCTTGGCCACCAACTCAATGGCAAATACCAATCCAATGGCTGATGTGGAACTTGTGGGTGGTCCAACTGTTCCAGTGTTCCCACACAAGATAGTCTCACTTAGCACCACCAAAGATGAGAGCACCTCCACCTTCTTTTTTGGAAAGGGGTTTGGTCCCCAGTGCTGAGATCACTAACATTCAGGACACCCCCACAAGGAACCCACTGGCAATGAAAGATATACCAGGCCAGGTGCCAGTGCAGACTTCATTGTCTTCATCTCCAGATGAGGCAGTGGCAGGTTTGGCCATATTGCTCATTCAAGATAAGGCTCACCAAGAGCTTTTGTGTCATGTGGGGAGGAGGTGGAGGAGATCACAGAAACAGCTCCTGCTCCGGTGCATGATACCACTACCACTCTCAGGGCTGTCAAGAGTGGTCCTATCCTTCAATGAGGCCCTCTTGCAGCCCATAATAGCTCTGTGGCAAACCCCTGCATCCATCAGCCAACAGTGAAGTAGGTGGAAAGGAAGTATGATGTACCCACCTTTGACTGCAAACAAATGAGAGAGATAATCAACAAGGGTCATTGCCCAAGGCAAAAGAGGCCAATAAACTGGATTTATTAGACTGGAAGATGCACTCTACAGGGGGCCTCCAGCTGAGAATATCAAACCATCAGGCACTCCTAGGTCACTATGATTTTAATTCCTCATCACCCATGATGAAATTTAAGGAACTCCTACCATCTTAGTCCAGAACTGAATTTATGGCCCTTCCAGAGGAGGGTAAGGCAGCTGCCAAAGCCGGTGGTCTTAAATGTAGTGGCTGGGGGGCCAGAGCAGTAGTCATGAGGCAGACCTCTTGGCTTCAGTATTCTGGAATGCCTCACAAGGTCCAGCAAATGATCCAGAACTATTTGAGGGGAATTCCTTTTTGTTAGGCCAAGATTTATGTTTGTTTTTAAGTTAATAGAGCAAAGTGTAGGAAGAATGTAAGACCCTTATCATGCAAGCTCTTGGAATAAATTTACACACTTTACTGAACTCGGTGGAACTACTCAGATTTGTAAAATTACATGAAGAAATATTTGTACAAAAGTGTTGAGCATTAAGTTTGGACAATATCTAATGTATCAGGTTGCACTCTCAGAATGATTCTAAGGGCCTATCCACACTTGTATAAAAGGTGTATTTTAAAAGGTATTAGAGAACATGTTTTAATTAACATGTTAAAAAAACTGAACCTCCTGTTAGGCTTTTTACCGAGGACAACTAATGTATTTTAAATTATAACTCCATGTCTAAACTTCTGTATTAAAATGGTATAATTAACACAAAGAAGCTAACCTGGCTTAAAAACATACCTTTTATATTGCTAGCGTGATCAGGTTATGAGAGAGAAATGAAAGGAGAAATAAGAGGAAACATCAAAATGAGTCAGGATGGTAGGATTTCCTTCAGCTTTTTTCCTGATTATAATTCTGTTGACTCTTTATTACAATTACAGTCATTAAATGGAAATAAAGAAAAACAGCGGTGTTATTAAATTCTCATAATTCTAAATAGCTTTTAAAAATGAGCAGACTTTTCTGGAAATCCACTAACATATCGCAGGAACAAATAAACAAGAAACCTTTTTAAAGCACTTTTCTTTTCATTGATTTATTAGTCAGTTTGTTTTGCTGTTGGGTATTTTTTTTCTCCTTCATTTAGAGTAGCCAAGATTGATAGATTTATATATTCACTATTACTGAGAAATAACAATACAGTGATTAGAGATATCCCTGAATTCTGGATCAAAGTCATTGTTAGAAGATCAGAGTACAGGAACTACTTCATAGTTATTGAGAAGTAACCAAACAGTCATTATGATATTAATATACATGCACAACTAGAGTATAGACATCTGCAGAACTGAGATATATTACACATTTGTGTTATTAGTACATCATTTTCAGTAGCTGAACAGTGTCCCTATACCTTGGCTGAGGGGAAAAAAAAACCCTGAAATTTCATATAATATAAATTAAGTATTTTTTGAAATTTGTATTTTGTCTTATTTTTAGGATCAAACAATGTGGGCATGCTTAGCCGCTATGGCAGTTTCCAATAAGGATATGACAACAGCAGAAATAGCCTATGCATCAATCGGTGATGTAAGTAGATAAGATTTAACTATTTTTAACCATATTATTGTAATGCTAACTTTACTAGTTTATTTCTTTAGATAAACCATCACATTTTTTTAACAGATTGATAAAGTTCAATACATCAATTCTATCAAAGAACTTCCATCAAAAGAATCAAGAATGGCTCATATACTGCTGTTCAGTGGAAATATACAAGATGCTGAAATGCTGCTTCTTCAAGCAGGCCTTTTTTATCGAGCTATTCAAGTCAACATTAACCTTTATAATTGGGATCGGTAATATTTCTCTCAACATACTATATCTTATACAATTAATAATCTTACTAAAATTAAGTTTTAAATGTTTAGAGAATTAGACATTTAATTGACTAATTTATTAACCATATTTGCCAGGATCCTGAGAAACATTGAATTAAATCATATATCTTGATGATATACAAAAGAAATACAGTTACTGAAATGTTAGAAAGCATATGAATCACTGCATATTTAAGGTGATATGACAGTGTTTCCATGAATTGCCCTATGACAGGGCTGAGCAAATTGTGGCCCGGAAGCTGGAACCTGCCTGTCTAACACTTTGATCTAGCCTGTAGATTGCAGCTGGCCATTTTCTATTCATATCCTGCTGCTCATGCCACCGAATTTCCAGGTAGTGGCCCACGCAGCAGGATCCTATTTAAATGGCTCACAACTCCCAGTTGCAGTGCTTCCCCAGTGTGGGCCAGAGCCACAAGCCTTTTAAATAGCCACAACAACCCCAGGTAGCTCCCAAGCAACATGGTAGCAGTGGGAGCTATGAGCCTTTTAAATTGCTGCTATTTAAAGGGCTCACAGCTCCCAGCCTTGCCATTACCACTGTGACTATTTAAAGGGCTCCCAGTCATGGCGCTACCCTGGCAGGGGCCAGAGCTGCGAGCCCTTTAAAAACTGAAGCAACTCTGGGTGGCTGCCAGGCAATGCAGTAGTGCTCCCTGCAAGCCCTTTGCAGTGTGCTTTTACTTCAAAACCTTTGGTCCCAGACAACTCTGGGGGGAGGCTAGTCCCTAGCCTTGCCCTTCTGCCCCAGGCTTCCCCCCTTCCAGGGGGAGTGGAGCCAACCCATGACAAGTACCAAAATTCATTAAGTGGTCCCCTTGTGTAAATTATTGCCCGCCCCTGCCCTATGACAACGGTCTTCAGCACTCCCAGAGACACTTTTCAGCCTTGTTTATTCTTACTTAGAAGATCAAATTAAGTTATGCAACTCCAGCTACATTAATTGCGTTGCTGGAGTCAATGTACCTTAATTCAATCTTCAGTGCCATCTCCACAGTGGGAGGTCAACAGAAGCAAACGTTCCCATCAACTTCCCTTACTCTTCACGAATCGAGGAGTAACAGTGTTGGTGGGGGCACCTTCAGTGTTCAATTTAGTAAGTTTTTACTACACCCCACTAAATTGAACTCCAGAAGATGAACTGCTGCAGAATCTATCTTTCTGGCTCTTATGACTTTGGACACAGGTGTCTTCTTCTAAATCTGCTTGCCTGCCTTCCATATTGATTAGAAAGACAAGGTGGGCGAGGTGATATCTTTTATTGGACCAATTTATATTGATAAGAGACACAAGCTTTCAAGTCGCACAGAACTCTTCTACAGGTCTGGGAAAGGTATTTCCAGTGTTACAGCAAAGAGTAAGGTGGAACAAATTATTCAGCATAAGTAGTTAGCACGTATTATAAAGGTAGCGCCATCTTGCATTTTGCAGTGACACTAGGTATACTTTCCTATACCTGAAGAAGAGCTGTGTGGCTCAAAAGCTTGTGTCTCCCATCAAAAAGGTGGTCAGATAAAATATATTGTATTTCTATTATCCAGCGACCAACATGGCTTCAGCTACATTCCCTTTACTGATTGTCTGCCACCTGCCACATCCTTAACTTTCCCAATTCTGAAAATTCGTCCCCAGACTTCTGAATGTTCCAGAGTAAGGAAAAGGATTGGCCTCTCCTCTTCCCATAACAAGATTTGGGGACTAGTTTAAGATGAATCCCCTCCCACCACAGAAACCATCTTTCCTGACCATGAGAACAATACCCTGTTAGTATTAATTGGGCAGAAGCCCCCAATCTATCTTCAGAATGGCTGATTCTGGGAACAAAATTAGAGGTCCCTTTAAAAATGTAGTGCTTCATGTCACTGTAAAGAGGAGACTGAACCTCTCTCTGTATTCCAGCTTTTCCACTATAACAAATTTATTTTTCAGCTCCAAGTTCAGATTCTCATGTCACATCTGTTCACCATCCAAATAATCATCTGAAAGAGCTAAATAGAGTTTGGCTACCCTAAAACAGAGGTAGTACTTCCTAAATGTAATGGGGAAAATTTGCCTTCTTTGCAACTTTAGATTTAGATAGCATTTTAACTCCTAAAGGACTCATAGTCTAAATACTGCTCCAAAAATATACTTTGGTTCTGGCCACTTACAGTAATTAAGATAGTTGGATATATCTATCTATGAAAACAATATGTAAATGCAACATTAGCAAAAATCCTATAGTTCTCTTTTTATATCACCATTTAATACTGCTATTTTTAATAGGGATGAAAGTTAAAATGCTATGAATTGTTTAATTTTATTCCTAATACAAGCTTTATTTGATCTTGATTTTAATTTCAGTTTAGTACTGTGCATTCTGAGTACTTACATGAAAATGAAATGAGAAACTAGCAAATCACCTTTCAATCTGAATTGTGCTTTCTTTTGGAAATGTACTTTATGGGGAAAACTCAGACAGATAGAGTATGTTGCCCAATGGGCTTAATTAATGCTAAGAATTACATGTAGATTTATTTGGATTTTTTTTTCTGGCAAGCACATCTGTTGCGTTAATGTTTCCAAGAATGTCTTACCTGGAAAACAATGAATAAAACAGTCTAAGATATATAAATATAATTGTATATCAGTCCAAAGAAAACAAATGTAAGCATAATTGTATCATAATAATGCAGTGCATGATGAGCTTCCCATTTTAGGGTGTTCTGAAAGGGCTCATTTGCATCTACTGTATGTTAAAGTAAATGCTGTCCAAAAGCCAAGAAATTTCATTTTCATTCATCTTTATAATAATTTCACTATGAGTTAGTTTTTTACCCTTTATTACTGATATATAGTCAAAAGTAAAAGAGTCTGTGTTTTTTCAGTTCATTAAAAAAATGTTGTTGTCACATTTGTATAATGTGTTTAGGTTGTTAACAGAAAATGTTAATTATAAATCATAATGTACATCACAAAGTGAACTCTGTATGTGGAAAAATTGGTTACTCTCAATCTCTTATGGTTTACACTAATGCAAAATTGCTTGGCACTTTACATCAGAAAGATCAATCTCTACCACAATCTGGCTGTGTCTACACTGCCCCCGTTTTGCTAAAAAAAAAATGTAAATGAGGCGAAGTGTGGAATATCGCCACACCTCATTTACATAATTAATATTCCATGCTTTGCCTCATTTGCATATTTTTTGCGCAAAACAGGGGCAGTGTAGACATAGCCTCACTGTACAGATGTCTTTTTGTACTACCAAAGTAACTGTAATTGCGTTAGTATTTTTTTCAGCATGACAAGCCAACTTTTGTTTTGTTCCAGGGCACTAGAACTAGCAGTGAAGCACAAGACACATGTTGACACAGTTTTGGGTTATCGACAGAAGTTTCTAGAGGATTTTGGTAAAAAAGAAACCAATAATAGATTTTTGCAGTATGCAGAAGGTGTAAGTATTCTATGGAAACTTAGCCCTACATTTTCAGAAGCTCAGTCTACATTTTGTGTGCACAATTTTTGCAAAAAACATTGCACCCATATTTATGCTTCAGTCCAGTTGTAGTTGTAATTCTTGTTTTTTACATACATCTTTATCTGACCTCAACCACAAATTAATAGCCTGATGTGGAACTAGTAACGTTTGTGAATGCAGTTTATTTGGGGGCACAAAATAAGTCTGCATAAATTTTGCAACCTGAAAACATTCAGGGGCTTTTATTTTAGGGCACACATTTTGAACGTAAACAGGGAGCTGGGTTGAAAATGTACCTCTTAATGTCTTCAGTAACATGAATGATAGTAACAGTAACAATCAGTAAGGTTACCTAGAAGAAAAATTGAGACAATGTATTGTAATACTGTATATTATACATACATATAATAGATTTCACAGGCCTACAGTTTTATAGAATACTTATAATTCTCATTTTAGTTCAGAACAAAATTATCAGCTTGAGTTTGTGTAGTACAGTAAACTTCCGATAATCCGGCACCTTTAGGACCCAGGGGGAGCTGGATTATCAAATATGCCAGACTATCGGAAGGGGGGGGCTATGAGGAGTCTGGGGTGGAGTGGGGGGGATGCGCCCCTTGGCGCTGCTGGACCAACCCGGCAGCACCCTGGCTTTTCTGCCCCCGCCTTTCCCACGTCAGCAATGGAAAGCTTTTGTTGTTGTTAATAGTAGTTAAACCAGTTCAAGATCACAAGTCAGACCCCTCTCCCCCGCAACTGCAACTCATTAGTTAGAGTTCACCTTGCCCAAATGGGTTTCTAATCAAGGAAACACACAGCTATAGCAACATTAGCACCCAGACCAATCAGAACTTTTCTTTCAGTACATCAGTCTCAGTAACCCAATGGGGATTTTATTTATACACTGAAGAAGTACGGCCAACCTGGCAGCACCCCAGTTGCTCTGCCCCTGGCTTCCCCAATTCAGCTGCTGGTCAGTTTCAGCAGCGGCTGAATCGGGGAAGCTGGGCGCAGAGCAGCTCCAATTGTCCGGCTGCCCAGAGCACTTCCGGGTTCCTGATGGTGCTGGACCATCAGGAGTGCCGGAGCATTGGATGCTGGACCAATGGAGTTTTACTGTATTGTCTAATATTTGACATGGCATGGATATAAAGGATCCTGCTGACACTGTTCCCCTTCAGTTCCTTCTTACTATCCATGATGGTTGGTTGAAATCCTTCATTGATTGTCCGGCTGCCCAGAGCACTTCCGGGTTCCTGATGGTGCTGGACCATCAGGAGTGCCGGAGCATTGGATGCTGGACCAATGGAGTTTTACTGTATTGTCTAATATTTGACATGGCATGGATATAAAGGATCCTGCTGACACTGTTCCCCTTCAGTTCCTTCTTACTATCCATGATGGTTGGTTGAAATCCTTCATTGCTTAGTCAATTTTTTCCTAGCATTTTTTTCATTTCAGGTTGTATAAATAGTTGTTAGAGTAGTTTTTAGTAGTTTTAGATTTCATATACTTTAGATGCCTTCACATTAAACTTTAGATGCTCCATTCCTCACTTGTCTGCTTTCCCAGTGCCAGGGCATGTCTTGGTCGCTAGTTTTCAAATCCTGCACTAAGCCTAGGCTTTTCAGTGATCCCCATTTCAGTTGTCTCAAGTGCCTGGGGGAAACTTATAAGTTAGACCACTTGCAAGGCTGCAGAGGCTTCAGGCCTTGAATCAGTAAAGACTGAGAGGTCGATTGCAGGTCCTCCCATTAGAGCAATGTTTCTCAAAGTAGTCTGCAAAACCACTTTGAGAAATCTATTAACTGGCCACGTCAGTTTGTTTACTTACTGGCGCTGCAGCCACAGAGCCTCATGGCTCCTATTGGTTCCGTTTCACTGTTTGCAGCCAAGGGGAGCCACGGGAAGCAGTGGCCCAGCCCACACCACTTCCCGTGGCTGCAAACAGCAGCCAAGGAGCCACGACACTCTGTGGCCTCAGTACCACTAAGTAAACAAACCAGCACGGACAGTTAATAGGTTTCTCAAAGTGGTTTTGCGGACCACTTTGAGAAACACTGTAATAGAGGCAGCCTTAAGACCAGCTTCAGAGCTGTGCTTGGACTCAGCTCAAAGTTATGCTCGGACTCAGCACCAAGCACCTCAGTTTTGAAGTGGAGTGCTCTTCCATCTACCTGGGACTCTTGACAGTGATCACCATCCCTAATGCCTACAAAAAAAAAAAGCACCAAGAGGACACTAGCGCTCTGGTGCTGAAATCAAAGGGAGACAGAGCACGAGTCAGATCCACGAGTCAGTTCCCAGCACAACATCATCAGGTGTCAACCACTGCAGTGCCACTGCAAGCTCCTCAGACACTTACGAAGGAGCATGCTATTTAGGAGGAAGGCACAGCTATCAGCCACAAGACAGCCTCATCTAGAAATGTGCATGGTTGCAAGGTGGCACTCAATTCAGACACCTACAAAATACTATTCTTTGGATTTAGCATCCTTCTTTGGTAGAGTAGTCCTTCATTAAGAGTATATGTCTCCCATCGTGAAAGGGAGGCACTATCCCATAAATGGAAATGTGCAGAGCTCACTTAAAAATAAATGAAAGTTATTCCCCTGAAACCACAGTTCTTTGAGCTATATTCTGCATTCATGCACCCTCCATCGACATTTCTCTCAGAGTCCTAATTGCAAACTAGGACTTGTGGGAAGCAGTGGAAAGAACTGAGATGGTTAGAGGTGTCATACCTACAGAATATTTGGGAAGCGTGAGGAGTGGGTCAGGATGGGGTATGAGAGTACTACAGTAGGCATTGCTATCTAAAGGTTGCATTGTCACAGTTCACTTTGAAGAACTCCATTTGCAGTTGAGTAACTTTCATCTTTGGTTCCAATGCGGCTCAAGCCCAGAATCTTCTGTGTAAAAGAGCTATGATAAATACGACAGTGGGGAAGAACCATATAAAATGTTTAACATGTATAGCAAAGGCTTTGAAGTGTATAGCAGGATTTGAAATGGGGCCTTCTCTCACCCTAAGCAAAAGTTATACCTGTATTCCACAGCCTGCTTCCTAAATACATTTAATTATTTCTTATTCCTCAATGTTTTAAAATATTACCATTGATATAATATAGTGGTATTAGTCAGGTGAGTTTGGCTGCTACATTATGAATGCAGTGGAAGATGCTAGAGTACCGGCAAGAAGCATATTGCTGTAATTTTAGCTATAGATTGCCATATCTGTGTTGGCAGAAATATTGTAAGCAAGTCACAAGAAGTAATTCTTCCTCTCTACTCTGCACGAATCAGGCCCCCAACAGAAGTACTTTGTCTAATTCTGGACCCCACATTTCAGAAAGGATGTGGACAGAGAAAATCCACATACAAGCAACAAAAATGATTAAGTATTTAGAAAATATGATTTATGAGAGAAGATTGAAAAATGGGGCTTGTTTAGTCTGAAGAAGAGGAGACAGAAAGAGTATATAAGAGTTTTCAAGAACATAAAAGGTTGTTACATGGAGGGGGGAGGTAAATTGTTCTCGTTAAGCTCTGAGGATAGGAAAAGAAGTAATGGGCTTAAATTGCAGGAAAGGCAATTTAAGTTGGACATTAGAAAGAGTTTTCCAACAGTCAGCATGGTTAACTGAAATAAAATTAGCGTTTTGCTAATTCAAAATACCGTGCCCACACTGAGTGGACACTGATTCGGATTTAAGGCTGGCCGGAACTAGGTCAGGGGTAGGGCATCAGGTCAGGAGTGTCTTTGTGTGGCTGTTGCCTGAGGCTATCTGAGGCTTGTACTTAAAGGGAGAAACACACACTCACACACACCCGCGGGCAGCCGGTTCCCAGGTGTCCCTGCTTGCTTGCCTGCCTCGCTGAGGGACAGCAAAGCATTTGTGTCTTGGAGTGGTGTGGTTGCCCTCACTCGGGACACCATAGCACTCTGCAACATAGAGCCAGAGCTGCCCCTGGGCACTCTGGTGCTTCTCGTGAACATGTTGCTGTGAGCCTGGCTGTACTTTCTGCAGGCTGCCTTCTGGGAGGTCCATCGGGGGGCTGTATGTATCCAGGAGACCATGCGGGAGAGCTTCCACCATGAGGAGCCCTCAGAGCCTCCCAGGTCCTCCCCACCGGGGTCTCGTGCCCCTTTCTTCCCTCACGTCCTTTCACTTACCCCTCCCCCCAACCTTTGCTTCCTCGTGTCAAATAAAATACACGTATTTTCATGAACACAAACTCACTTTATTTAACAAAACTGGGCGGGGAGGATGAAACTCTGGTGAGACTGGGGGAAAGAAGCAGGAGAGGTGAAGAGAGAAGGTGGGAGAGGGGAGGGGGAAACCTGGGAGGAAGGAGCTGGAAGAGGGAAGCAAGGGGAAGAAGGGAGAAGGGAAGCTCAGGGTTGGGGGGTGTCGCCGGACTACCTTGATTTTCATGTGAACCTGCTCCTGGGATAGCATGTGGCCTTTGGTGGCCAGGCTGGCAGCTATCCTGTCATAGACAGCCACGTTCCTCCATCTAGTACGGAGATCATGAACGTTGGGGGCATTCCCCCACCCCCAAACCTGAATAAGGTCCACCTTGATCTCCGCCCTGGACCAGAAAAGTGCCCGCTTTTTCCGGGCCCTGGCAGGTTCCTGGGAGTTGGCAGACTGCTCCTGGGGAGCGGTGGAGGGCTGGCTGCCAATGGCTTGCCAGCTCATGTTTTGGGGCCACTGGGTCAGGAGCAGTGACTCTGTGGCCAGAGTCTACCCCTTTAAGGGCTCCGGGGGGGAAGGAGGGAAGGGAGAGGAGTGTTCTTGCTTGAGGCTGGAGTGGCTACCAGGGCACCCTGGGAAGGCTGGAGGCCTCCTATTTTGAAATAAGTGTCTACACAGCACTTATTTTGAATTAGCTAATTCGAGTTTGGTGTTACTCCTCGTAAAATGAGGTTTACCAAATTCAAATTAAGCGCCCCGCTATTTCAAATTTAATTCGAAATAGCGATTTGCCTGTGTAAACACCATTAAAGTTAATTCGAAATAACGACTGTTATTTTGAATTAACTTTGATGTGTAGACATACCCTCTCTCTCTAACCTGCCCTGTCACAACATTCTAATATATTATCTTGAAATTCATCCTAAACAATACCCAGCTTTTGATATCTGCTTCATTCTTCTTTCTCTGTGGGACTGGTAGAGATTCCAAAAGGCAAGAAGAGTGGCTTGAATTGCCTGCTTAGCCTGGGATGCTAGATCATCTATTGGCTTCCAAATTACTATTGTGCTTTTATACATCTGTGTTGGGAGTGGAAAGGGATACCCTACCTGGAGAGAAAGTTAAGATTCCTTCTAGTATCATTCATTAATACACATTTTAACATTGAATTATGGCAACCAAAGTATAGAGAACATGCCTCAGAGATCAGCCATTCCTGCCTCGTGCCACGTACAATATTACCAGTTTACCTTTTCCCATATAACCTGTCTGCTGCAGAGCCTCCTATGACATTTTTCTTAAAATACATTGTCAAGGCTGTTCCCCACTCTGGCACTCTGCAGAAGGTGGGGGCCCACGAGAGACCTTAAATATCTTGCCTCTATGGGCTTCTGCTTAAAAAAAATTCTCCAGGGTTACAGATTCCCTGGCCTTGCGGGATAGGCTACCCCCATCAAGTGTAAAATAAAACCCTTCTTCTTAGACCCAGGAAGAAGCACTTGAACTTCTTCCAGAGGGGTACTCCCAAGCTCTTTTACCACAAAAGAGCTTGAGGAAAAAAAGAGAAAACAAACTGCAGTCTCTGATAGCTGACCTCTCAGGATTAGGCATGCAGACACAGACCTCCTTACATTCCAGGACACAAGATTAGGCATGCATACACAGACCTCCTTACATTCCAGGACACAAGAATCAAATAATCTCCTTAAAAAAGGTGATTTTATTAATAAAACAAAAAGATACACTTGATAAAGCAGGTTTGGTTGCTAGGTGTTATAGAGCAACTGAGAAAACAGATTACAATGCATGAAAAAAATGGTACTCTGGGTGAAGTTTAGATGCAGTGAATGTAGGGGGCACGCAGACTTAGCACAAACTATTGGGCAGCAGGTTTAAAATAAATAAAAGGAAGTTCTTCTTCACACAGCGCATAGTCAATCTGTGGAACTCCTTGCCTGAGGAGGTTGTGAAGGCTAGGCAGGAAAGAGACCACTTGATCATTTCCTGTTCAATTCACTCCCTCCAGGACACCTGGCATTGGCCACTGTCAGCAGACAGGGTAGGGTACTGGACTGGATGGATCTTTGGTCTGACCCCCCCAGTATGGCCATTCTTATGTTCACAGAGAAGTTTCACCAAACAACAACATGAAGAAAATAACGTGGTTGCAACTAGGTTAAATTTTTCCTAACTACTCACAATCCATGCTTCAAGATCCAGTCTATTTCCGCAACTAGGATACATTTTTCCTAACTATTCACAATCCATGCTTCAAGATCCAGTCTATTTCCATGCCCACTATTCCTTGTAGGTGTGATAGTTCTGGCTGGTTCAGTTCACCTTGTTTCCTCCAGCTCCTAGTTTAGAACTCACACAAAGAAAATAGCAGGCAGGTATATCTTTCAATTCAAATTTTAACACTCTCTGCCATTGGCTGTCCTGGCTCCCCTGCCTACACCCCCTAGCTACCTGAGTTTAACCGATTAGTAACAGAATGCTGGCCAGCACTCCTCCTACCCATCACATGCACAAGATCAATAATGAAGGTAAGTTCAGATATTCATTAATGTAGATCAAAATGCTGTAGTTCAATCTGAAATAGAGAATTGATGTCCTTATTGATAGATGGACATAAATATATATAAAAGTATAGTTAGAATGGACAGTTCATAAAAGAAAACAAAACAGAAAGTCCTAAAATTCATACAAGATTTTGAAAACCCAAAAAAACAGAATAAGATACAAGTTCTGATCATATAAGCAAAATCAGTTGGGCTGCATTACAGGCAAACTGTGAACAGTGCCAGCTTCAATGGAGGAGAAGAAATGGCTTACTCATCCAGGAGCCAACTTGAAATTCAGTATTCCAGTATTCATAGTTTCACTGATATAGGACACTGCCACAGGATGTAGTTTTTTCTGCTGCTAGAGAAATGTCAATACAAAACAGAGCAGAATTCAGGTATCAACCGTGTTATTTCTGTTTTATCAAATGGGTAATGTAGATTATATCAATTTGCTTGTTGGGTTTTGGTGTAGTGGAGAGAAGTTGCCCAATGTAGCATGAGCAAGTGGCTGCATTCTGATTGATGTGACAAATAGACTTAATTTATGTTTAAGCTGAAAGATGTCTAGCTGGCTTATCTAAGTTTATTTTCATTGTTGAATATTTTCTCACCATATATGAGATTAATATTTGTTGCAAAGTATCTAGTTTGTATTATTTCAAAGACAAGAACCCCTGATGGAATACTGTTTATTAAATCTTGAATATGAAAGAGAACCTCCAACTAATGCAGACATATAACTCACATTAGCACTAATGATAGTTATATGTTTGTGCCAAGAGGAGACCTATATGATGACAGAGCATATCACTTTGTGACTTGTACCTTCATACTGTTATTCTTAATACATATTTTACAAAATGTTAGTTAATATCTATCCACTCTCTTTCCTGTTCTTACAGCTGGAAGTTGACTGGGACAAAATCAAGGCCAAAATAGAAATGGAAATTTCTAAAGAAAGAGAACGAGCTGCAGCTACTCCAGCAGTCAGAACCAGTGTAACTGTACAGCGCTAAATACAGTCTAGGTCATATAGACATTTGCTGTATCAGTATACTGATAAATCTAAGGATTATCATTTTTCCAGAGAGTGAAATATGGAAGTCTGATACCTGAAAGTATTATACTTCTTGCTGAATATTGGACAATGGGCAGAACTGGATTCATATGTTTGTAGGCCATTATAAGTTGTGGGCCCCACCTTGCTTTCTTTACTCATATAAGGAGTCCAGTGAAGTCAGTGGTCTTTAAAGTAAAAATATGCAGTCTTAGATACCTGGATGTAGGCACTGAAATTAGTATTTAAGCATCTAAATAAGTGGTCTGATTTTTCAGCAACTATGGTTGCTGATACACAGCACTTTTGAAAAGGAGGCCAGTTGGTTAAAGATACCTTTAGATTATTTAGGCACTTAGCTTTAGGCAACCAATGTGAAAAATATGAACCTACATCTATGAATGGCAAAGGAAAGTTTAATTTGCAGATACACAGGTTAATGATGTATAACAGCACAGTCCCAGTGCTGAAATATTTTCAAATAATACACATCTGTTATTACAGATAAATTCAGCACCTGAGATTGGTTGCAAACCTGTTTCTGTCAACAGCCAAAAAAAGGGTAACTGTTAGAGATGTAAACACAGTCCAAAACCAGTTAAACTGTTTATTTAACCAATTAACCACTGGTCAAAGGGAGGGAGTTGTTTCAGCCCTGACTTGCTACAGCCATGAGTGGCAGGGCCTACTCCAGCCCACCCTTGCCGTGCTGTGAGGGCTGCTCTGAACCTGCTGCACCGAAGGGGCTGCTCCGGTCCTACTGGCAGAGAGCTGCTCTGATCCTGCCATCTACCGTTGTTGGGGTCCTGCCAGCCAGGACACAATGGGCAGAAGGCTGCTCTTGCCAGCAGGGCCCTCTGATTAACTGGTTACCTAGCAAGAGTGCCAGTAAGGCATATGCTTATCAAGTAACCAGTTAATTGTTTAACCTTTAACATCCATAGAAGCTGTTGAATAAAAAACTTTTAAATGTTAAATAAATTATTTCATAATAATCTAAAATACTATGTAACACGTTTTGAATTTTCTTTGAATTAGCAGAAAGTCAGTTTTCTGCAAGTATCCAATGTATGATTGACGATAGTGTTCTATACTTCTTTAATGGTTTGCAAGTCCCATGCATTTTGAAGGAAGTTTTTCATATTTGCAGATAGTGTTCTATACTTCCTTAATGGTTAGCAAGTCCTATGCATTTTGAAGGAAGTTTTTCATATTTGCATGAAGTCCAATTCACTTGATTGTGTATTGAGGTTAAATATATACCCTTTCCCATAAATATTCTCTCTCTTTCTTGTTGAAGTAATTGGGGCTGCATGCATATGGACTTGTCTGTATGATCTCTTTGCTATATTGGAACATTAGTCTGTTACTGGTCTGTTATTGAAGGGCATTAAAGTAATTATGTGTAACATTTCTTTCACATATGAGCATTAAAAGGTTTGTACATTCTGTGAGAATCTTTTCTGGTTTAATATTTGTTTTGCAAATCATGTTGACGCAAATATCATTCTTAATACATTCAGATAAAAAAGGCAGTTCTATCTGAGTACTTAACAATCCATGTAAAAGTTCCAGTCCTCCACCTGAGCATGTCCTGAAGAGTTAACTACCCTAGTTTGGCTTCAGAGGAGTAGCTGTGTTAGTCTGTAGCTTTAAAAACAATGAGCGGTCCTGTCACCTTAGAGACTTAACAAATTTATTAGGTCATGAGCTTTCATGGGTAGCTATGACTTGCAAGAGCAAAGCACTTGCAGGAATGAGCCTAAAACAGCGATGAACAATGTAGGCTAGTGAGTGGGCCGCATGTGTGGTGCTTCTTTTCATTGGGTCACAAGACTGTCGTAACCAAGATGGCTTCTTATGATAGGGCAGTTTTGTTAACTGTGCTTGCATACATACAATTTGCAGGCCATGCCAATTGAATCATAGTACTGTTTGACTGGATGCAGAAGAAGCACATAGCTCTCACAGTCTATGTTATGTGCAATCAGCACACACCTCATTCACACGCCCTTCCATTACGTGCATGTCAATTCAGTAATACAAGTAGGGAAAAAACTACACAGATGGAAACCAGGGAATGTGGCAACCCTGTGTGGTGGGCAACAGTAAACAAAATGTCTTGCAGGACATTCATAGAACCCCAATGGGCCACAGGTTGCCCACCACTGACCTAAAACATCAATAATAGCAAATGTTTAATGTGAAATGTATTGCTTTGCGAAAAGTGCTCACCCATGCATGATAGTGATTTTGTCTTTTAGTCACTTTTCTGTGTGAGTTCACATAGTGATTATCCAGTGCACTAAATATGCCTATAACAACTATGTGGAGGACATCAAAGAATCTCTGTGCTCTCAAATAAACTCAGGCTGCATCTAGATTGGCATGATTTTCCGGAAATGCTTTTAACGGAAAAGTTTTCCGTTAAAGGCATTTTCGGAACAGAGCATCTAGATTGGCACGGACGCTTTTCCGCAAAAGCACTTTTTGCGGAAAAGCGTCCGTGCCAATCTAGACACGCTTTTCCGCAAAAAAGCCCCGATCACCATTTTCACGATCAGGGCTTTTTTGCAGAAAACAAATCTGAGCTGTTTACACTGGCCCCTTTGCGCAAAAGCTTTGCGTAAAAGGGACTTTTGCACGAACGGGAGCAGCATAGTATTTCCGCAAGAAGCACTGATTTCAGACAGTAGGAAGTCAGTGTTCTTGCGGAAATTCAAGCGGACAGTGTAGACAACTGGCAAGTTTTTCCGCAAAAGCAGCTGCTTTTGAGGAAAAACTTGCCAGTCTAGACACAGCCATACAGAAAAATGATAAAAGATTAAATTACCATATAACCTGAGTTCCCTGTAAGCTGCATAGCCATGCAGCTGCCTGTTTAACACGGTGCAGGCCAGGGACTTGTGGTAGCTGCAGGAGGGCCTCTCACCACCAACCTGCTGGGCCGCTCAGCCCCAGATCACCCCATGCGATGGTGGCCCCGGCCGCAACCCCATGTGGTCCAGCCCCAGCTCCCATCTAGGCCCACCATGGCAGGGAGAGGTGCTGTTCTCCTCTTTCCAATTGCTGCTGCAAGGAGAGAGAGCTGGGAGGAGTCTTCTCTCCACAGTAATTCTGGAGCATTCTCCTTCATCCCAAAGTGCTGCCAACCCTGGCTCCACCCCATAGCCTGTATCCCCATCCAGAGCCCTCATACCCCTGCATCCAAGTCCTCACTCCCAACCCTGATATCATTCTCAGCCCCAGTCCATAGTCTGGGGTGAGGCTAAGAATATTATCACCCAACTCTGTTCTTAGAACTGAGTTTCCAAAGTGAATATTGATGTTTTTGAATCCAGAATTTACTTTCTGTGAATATTCTCTAGTGTTTGTTGGTTTTGTTGAAGATGTCAGTCAGCAAAATCCTGCACTAAATTATTCAGAGACAGTAAGTATACAAAGGCACAAATACAATCAAAGCAAATTAGATTAAAAACTCTAACAAATATTAATTAATGGAATATTTTTACAGTATTTATTCAGCTCTGCCCACATATTAGTAACTGGACTAAGACCACAAACTCATTTTGCATTGCCACTTGGACAGCCACCCACTGGTATCAGCTTTTGGTCACATTTAGAGTTGTAAGCTTCTGTATTTTGTTATCAATCCATAGATCCATCTAGTCCTCTAGTGCAAACATAGAGGCATCTACACTACAGTACTATTTCAATATACCAGAAATATCCCAAAATAGCTATCCTGCATATTAACAGCAAGCCTGTTATTTTGAAATATAATGGGCTTGCTATTCTGATATCCCTGTAAACTTCATTCTCTATTTCTTTCCTCTGATTATGACACAGAATAAACAAAAATAAACAGAATAAACAAAAGGAGCACAAAGACTGCAAAAACACAAAACAAAACAAAACAAAACAAAACAAAAAACCTCCATCCAAAACAAACACATAGTTCTTTGAAACTATCCTGGGACTGAGAAATCATTGGATTTGTGGGACTGCCAGACCCTTATAAGGTTTTTAGATACTCAAGGAGTTAATCTGAGCAAATTCCTTTGTCTTACTGGCCTGCTAAATCATTTAATAAGCCTAAGGGTACGTCTACACTGCATGGCTATTTTGGGATACCTCTGGCTATTTTGTATACCGCCTCTACACAAGCCACTTGCTACTTTGAAATATTTTTCGAAATAACGGGCGTGCTATTTCGTCATCCCAGTAAACCTCATTGCACGAGAGATACAGGATAGCTTGAAATCGCACGCTAGTTTGAAATTTGGCAAAATAAGCAATTTCAAAAGTTTCAAAATAAGATACACAATTAGCATTGTGCAAATTGAGTGTCTTATTTCAAGTTTATGGTACTGTGTGTCTGTCCCCATAATACACGAGGTTCGAAGGGATGCCAGAAAGGATGAGACCACAACTGGGGGGTTTTAAAAAGCACAAACTGATTTTATTTTGATGGCGCCAGACAATCATCAGAACAAAAATTGAACAGATTGCCAGACAACACAAAACAATTCCCTGAGGCTTTTCTAAATCACAATAATTCCCAATAACTGCCCAGGGGTTAGGAACAGTTGAATTAACACTGGTATTGTCCATAGGGCTGATTATTTACACAACTTTATACAAGGAAACAGTAAAAACCCTAAACCACAACTATTTATAAACTAACTTAGTAACTTTTTAACCACTGTCACTTGACAAGCAATAAGGACAACTAAGAAATCAATTAGGATAGGGATGATGGTGTGGGGGGGGGAGGGGTTATACCAGTTCTGGAGACAGCAGGAACACAAGTACCGGTCACATGCTCATAAACTGTCTCCACTCAGGTCGACCAACGTGGAGTACACTCAGTAAGACTCGAGAGTGGGGGGTGCAAGGCGTCTGGGTGATCAGGCCAGGCGTTCACTCGATGCGAATCCCCAGTGAGAGAGGGGCTGCCTGCCTGTTTTATTGCCTGTGAACTTATCACCCCATAGGTTGGTTTTTGCTGCAGTGGGTGGAGTAGCAGGCCTGAGCACAAGTCAGCCCATTGGCTGATCTTTCACTGCAATGGGTGGAGCGATCGGGGAAGATTATTAATTTACATGCCCTTATATGGAAAACACTCCACCTCACAGACAGAGCCCCCTATGCCAGCCTTAGAGGTATTACAGGCTATGGCTCCCTGCGACGGGCAGCCGTTCCTGATGTTCTGTCTCGGACACTGTGTAAACGCACCCTAAGTGATTCTTGGATAAAATCCATTCCTTTTTGCTGCTTATCTAGAGGGTTGGGTTTTGTTTGTTTGTTTTACGTATTGCAGTTACAAGTCTAAGAGCTCTGTCTTCTATCTAGTGCAGGTTTCTTTTGTATTGATACTGTGCACACTATCTTTAAACTTGTATTTCTGAGGTTTCTAAAGGCTCTGTATTGCATTTGTCCTTATCTATTTTTAGGCACATCAGCCAGTGCTTTTAAAAATATCCTGTACACTGAATAGCAAAGAAACAATAGTTAAGTGGAGGAGTTGGGAAAAGATATTTAAAACAAGCTACAGAAAGCCTGCTGGCTTCTGCAACAATGCTGCAAGTAGTCCATGCTTACTGAAGGTTTCTCCCTGAATTAGCAAGATTTGCATATTATCAAATGCAAGATAAATTTTGCAGGAGCAATAAAA